CTAGAGTTAGTTAGATGAATATTATTTTTAGATATATAATTAGGAAAGTAACATAAGTATAATTGGATTTTTTTTTTTGAACATATGTTTCATTGACTTAAGAAGTGTTTTTACAAACTCAATTGAGCAAATGTTGAATACAAATAAGAGGAGAATTATTAATACAAAAAGAATTATATTGAGATTGTACTATATGCGCGAGCTTATCTGCTACATTGTTTGCAATTCTCCTACCGTGGACCACTTGAACACCTGCATGTCAAGTGATCCATAATTGAATATCTTGAATCAAATTCTCCATTGCTATGTCCTTTCTTCGTCCATGTATTAGTTCCACGAGAATTTGTGAATCTCCAAAAATTAACTGACGGTAACCACGGTACCATGTTAATTGTAAAGCATATGTAACAAGCTTAATCCTTCTGCTTCTAGAGCCGAGTTCGATTCGGGTAGAAAAGCTGATGTTACAGTAATAAAATCACCGTTTGAGTTGCGAATGATCCATCCAGAACCAACGAGCCGACTTGATGGTGTGAAACTCGAATCATAGTTGCATTTCAACCATCCGTATATTTTTACAAAAGTGGATTTAGGTAAGTAGCATAGAGATGAAAAATTGGGAAATAAATTTTCTTTGCAAAATTGTTTAAGGAAAATAGTAAAAAAAAAATAGAATATGACCATCATTCGTTTTAAGAAAAGTAGTAAAAATTCCCTAGAACACTTTACACGCCGACATCGTCACTTTATTTTTTTTAACGGAATCATTCACTCCGATCTCTGAAGGAAAAAAAAATTGAGATTGATCTTGATTGATGCAAATTAATCTTGATTCAGTGATCTCGTACGGCCAAGGTCTTAAGCTTTAGAAATTTCCTCTTCCATGTCACTTTTTCAGTCTTAAAACCAAGGGGTGATTGGTTGTAACTTTAAAATTTTTTGGCTATAGACTTTTATTTTAAAATTGACTGTAAAAACTTTTGCTTCTAAATAAATAACGGTGGCTTAAAAAAAAAAAGTAAAAGTCTTAGAATAGAGGCTTTAAAAAAAAGTAGACGTAACAAGAACAAAAACAACAAAAATGCTGTGAGAAAAATAAGGAGAACTTTTAGGGACTTTTAAAGCTTTTAAACAAATAAAGTTTGATAGGTAAAAATTAGACTTTAAAAACTTTTAAAAATAAACAAAGTCCCCAAAGTCTCTAAACTCAAAACACCAATCGGCCCCCAAGTCTTGTCTTCTACTTTTAAGATTCTGTTTCTTTTTATGAGTTTTTAATTTCACTCCCGACTTTATATTATGTGTTTTTCTCGAATCACTATTATATGTTGTGCTTCTTTTGCGTTTTGGATCTCCACTCATTACAAGTTGTTCCTTTAGCTGAGGAAAACCGATCACAGATGCAAACATGTGTTTTATTACTTATTTATGTAAAGCATGTTTGTGTTCGATAGGTAAAATTATCGAAATGAGATGTTAAAAAAAAAAAAATGAATGGATTCCAAAATTCAAACCTAAGTTTTTGTGTTTAGTGAAATGGAAATTAAGTATTAGATTCTACGTACGAATCCAAGATTTACCTTAGATCAATTAAAACAATAATCTTTACACACTTTTTACATCACAAGTCGTGTATTTGTGTCCAGTTTAACCACGGTTTATCATGTATAGATATTTACAAGTCGTGGCTAAGTTCTACAACTATCCACAACCGTTATCGTGACTAATATATACAATTGACACAACTTAACTTGTGTCTATAAAAGCACTTTTAACGGTAATCTATTGCCTAGTATCTTAAAATTAAAAAATAAAGAGTAATCAAAAATTGAGAGAGAAGAGGAGAGACGTGCCTAAAGTCTCTATGTTAAAAAAACGTTTCTGATTACTTTTTTT